AGCACACCCTCTTGCCTCTTGTCCTAACCCACCCGCGGCGTCCTCGACGCTGGCCGTTTGGATGTTCTTATGAGCGCGCTCGACAGCCTCTCGGAAGAGCGACTGTGGCTGGGGTCCGTCTACCAGCTCCATCTCCCGGAATCTAACCCCAATTGACGCCCAGGTGCTTGTTGGCAGGGACGTGGCTAAACCTCGTCTTTTGCACCGGAGAGTTTTTGCTCTTCGCGTATTTCATGCCCCAGTGGAAGCTCAAGCATGTATACCAATATGGCGCGTATCTCTTGATCCTCAACGATGTTATCGGGAGTGTTGCGGTCTGCGTCAATTTCTACGATACTGTGGTGGATCGGGTGCCCCAGTCGGAGACGGCCATAGTCGTTTTGTTGATTACCACCGCCATCTCTGCGGTCATGGAGCAGAGTTTCCTGCTGGTGAGTAGGTGTTGTGATACTCCTGCCAAACGATTTATTCTTCTCAGCATCGTTACTACACAATGTGGGCAATATATACAAAATATTCCGTCCATCTCATAATCTCGTCCTTTTAGCTCCAGAAACCGATTTACGATCTCATTCATTTCGCTCCTCGTCGTCGCCCATGTGTGTTCCCATCTGTCTGACACGAGCCCATCGATTAACTTGCGCTGATAGTTTGCAATGACCCTCGTGTGCAGTACATTAGGCCCAGCACGCGACCAGACCTTCACGCCCAAACTCGCAGCGGTACGTGGATCTGCATAAAAAAAAAGAGGCACCAATCTAACTCTGAATCCAGAGCACGTAAGACGCCGTTCTATTGACTTATCCATTTTCTTACCCGCTGCCAGACTCGCCTCGATATTCTGTGCAGTAGCCGATGTGTTCGTCTCCTGCAGCATCATATGGACCCTTAGTGGCCTCAACACCATGTGGCGTTCAACACAACAGTACGTTTCTATTTAGTTTGCTGTCTTGTTCTCATTGCCGATAGTATTGTCCGTGTGTTGTGTCTGAATGCACTGACCTCTGGCGCTGTCGTTGCAACAGTGACAGTCCTTGCTGGTATTACAGCGGTTGTCAAGGGTGTTGATTCTATAAGTACGTTATCTTTTCTCTCTTTTTTCTTTCTTTCTTTCTTACGTTTGGGCAGTATTCAGCATCTTTTTCGCCTCGATGGGGCGCGTATATTCGCTCACCATCCTGGTCAACATCATTGTACGGAACTCGCAGAGGCATATTGTGAACAGTGCGCCGATGGGTACGGAGCCGGCCACGGCGACCTCGATCCGTACGTGGTGGTGTCTTTTTTTTATTGGACTTTTCCGCTGACGACGGCGAACTCAGATTTCACGCATACGAGCGGCCCGAATTACTTTTCCTCCCGCACGCCGACCCGCACACGGACGCATACGCACGATGATGGGGAGGAACACGAGTTGGAAATCCGATGGGAGGGGGCAAATTTGACTGACCCAGCGTCTCCTGCTTCTGCGTCAGAGATAGAGTCACGTTCCGAGGTGCGTTGAACTGATCTTTGTCTCGTTCAGAATTTTGAGCTTGCTATATTTAGCCATCTTCCTCCTCCTCCTCTTCACATGAACCGGAACCTACACCATCTGGATCGGGGCCTGGTTCTTCCCACTCGCGTCGAATTTCTATACCTACCTCCATCTCCATTCCTGGGCCTTCTAGAGCGCGACCACGGTTCACGTATGCCTACCCCCACTCTCCCGGCGGCAGCAACCGGGATTCAACTTCCTCCTCTGAAGTGAGTTGGAACTTAGCTCGTTTGATTGATACTGAGACTGACTTGTTGACGAGTGATTTAATATCCACCAGAGCCCGCCTCCGCCTAAGCCCGACCTCGAATTAACGCATGAGTATGATTATCTTTCAGTATAAAGCTTACTGCTACCTATTATCTCTGTCTCTGTCTCTGTTGTCTCGCTCTCCATCTGTATCGCATTATCTCTTCCTTTCGTTATTGTCGCTCTCGTGGATTTCGTTCGTATATTAGCTAACTCTAACTCATACATATAGTCGTTCTCCCGTCTGCCTTGACTGATCGACTGACCTGACTTGAAGCTTTTGAGTTCAAACGCTGTTCAACAATCAACTGCAGGCGGCCGCAGGGTCAATAACCCACAAGCGAAGACGGGGAACTGGCCGTATTGTCAAGATGTCGCTGACTTTGAATCTTGGCAGCCGAATCCTCGCACATTTCTTTTGTCTTTTTTTCGTCTGGGAACCACGGTGTCTCGGAGCTCGCTCTTGCACAGCCAAGCCATCTTGGGTTCTTCTGAACTTGATCTTTGCCCGCCGCCCTTTCCTGTTCTGCTCAAGACCAGAGCCTATGTAATCCCGGACGGCCTATCGTCCGTGTAAGTAACACTTGACCCAAGCAATTTTGTGTACACCGCGGCTGTCTTGACCTACCTGTCAATGATCCGCGCGTGGACGCTGAAAATTAAATTCAAGACGCCGTGTTTGGCAACGCCGTGTTCTTAATACTCGACCTTTCCCCTCTAGATGTTTGACCGAGATTGGAATGGAACGAATGTGTCTTTTTTACCACGGTTGATGGAGGTTCTGCGTTATCCCGATTCCCGTTTCTTGTGAGGGTCTGCGGGCTGGCCTTGTGTGAGCCTAGTTCTCCATCCTCGACTCGAACCCAGGGCCCATGCGTCGGTATGTCGCTTGTCTTCGTTCCACAGCTGCTAAATATATCTGTAAAGTTCCGCATCAGCGCTAACCATGGCCACAGGTCAATCCCGTCCAAGGGATGTCCTTGTTTCAGCTATTCTTGCCGTTACCCGCACCATGGGAGGAACGGTCAGCATGGGTTGGATGTCGGACGGGAACACTTTGATCTGGGGTTCTGCCCTAGTCCGTAACCTCGGGCGGCTTGCAGTGCTTCTGAAAATTCCACAGGGGTACCGCTTTCGCCGGACGGGTAGGAAGTGTCCTGGGTTCCAGGAATGTGGGTTTCTCTCCTTCACAAGGGTTCCTCTCTAGATCTCTGAACTTTTCTCACCATGCCATCTCGAACCCTACCATGCCCCACAGTCGCCGGCGTTTTCCGCTGCCAGGGCAACCCCTCTCTGTCGCTCTAGTTTCTGTGGCTTCAGTGCTGGATGCCACTGCTTGCCACCCGCTGCTTGCGGGCTTCCCAAAGTTCCCATTCCCGTTAGTTTGGCGATTGGCATGCAGGGTCTGCGAGCCCTGGGTAACATTATAATTAAAATTTTGTATTGCTTTTACTCCGCGAGCTGTGAGTGGTCGGACTGGTATTGATTTTGAGTGTCGATTGGCCATGGGTGCGCCACTGGGAGCCTTGGTACAGCGCTCCCGTGCGCTGGGTCTGTCACCGTCTGTTCGAGGGTGGAATGAAATGAATCAGACTTACGCAAAAGCAAAACTATTTCGAGACAACGAAGACTCGGAGTCGATAAATCGGAAATAAATTCAGATAAGAAATGGTAGAACCTTGATTTGAGAGATATGGAGTGAACGTCGCTTGGATGACGGTGATAGACGGCCTGTGGGATGAAAGTAAAGTGAAAGAAGCTGCAACATTTCCTGTCAAATCGTATCTTGAAATGGATTGATTGAATCTGGACTCTGGCGCTGAGGAACAAAGTTTACGGGCCCACGAGGCAGATTGTCGTCTGGGTTCTTCAATTAAAATTCGAAAACGCGAACCTTGACGTGAACGGGCAAGGCGAAACCCGAGCTTCCAATTCGACGCGTGCAAATTCTCATTCTCCAGTACATGGTCGCATGGTCAAAACACCTTCGACGTGTGGCCCACTCGGGGGTTGACATGGAAAGTCTCGGAATGAGAATGCCGCCGGCCATTGGTTGGGTTGATCCAAAATTCCAACATACCGAGGCAACGAGGGAGCGGAAGCCGACCCTGCTCGCCGTCGCGCAACGTTAAACGCCATTCTGCGTCTGGCAGTCGCCGACACTCGCCGTCGCGTAACCCTACCCGCCGCCGCCGCCGTCAGCGTGCGTGGGCATTTGGAAACCAACTCGACTTCTTGGTGCGAGTGCCGTTGTCACGGATGCGGAGCGCAATCAAGCGGCGAATGATGATGCGGGGACGAGGTGGGGATAGAATAGGCAGGGCCTTTGGATTTGGATAATATGTGAATGTGAATGAAATCGAGGGCGGGCGGGTACGTGCGTGCCTGGGTGCGGCTTATCTTATTGAAACCGCGGTATTGAGGCCAGGGAACGTTCGAAAGACCGTTGAACGCATCAGGGGCGGGAGAAGCCGACGGACGCAATTTAGCCTGGAAATACTTCGATGGTCGGGTCGGAGAGCATGGTGGACCCGCGCCAGGAATGGGAAATTGCCCAAAGTGGGCAGTGAGGTTGGAGGTAGAGCTTCGCTTCTGTGCCGGGTGAGATAGATGAAGAGATCTTTCTATATGAGACAATCCAGATAGTGTGAATAGATCTCGGGGAACAGGCGGGTGTTCGAAGATGATGCGAGGTTACTGCCAGTGGAGCCGCGTTAACTGCACACCAACACGGCGATTGCGGATTAGTTGCTGGAATTGGACGACGCGTACACGTGAGGGTAACTTGAGGGCGAGGTATTTGCGGAAAAGGGGCCGGTTCAAGAGACTTCGATGTGGGAGCGTTGGACAATCCACACGGAAATCGACCAGAGGAGACAGGGAAAGAGCGGAAATACCCGGCATACTCCCATGCAAGCCAAGGCTGCTTCAAGTTTGCCCTGCTGGCAAAGACCGAAGACGACACCGTGACGAAGATCTAGAGTGCCCGTGCCAAGAGCGAGAACCATCCAGTCAAAGAAGACTCGAGCCGGGCAAAACTGGGAGGGTATCAAGTATCAAGTATCAAGTATCAAGTGCGCGACGCCGCGTAGGTTTGCCTTGAATCCATCGCGGTCGAAAGGGAAAGGGAATTGACGGGACAAAGGATTGGCATAATCTTGCAGTGTGGCACCTTGATATGGTGGAATTACCCTAGTGGAGACTCCTTTCGTAAGGCGTCATAGCTCAGCTGGGAGAGCAACAGACTGAAGTGCCACCTGGATCAGGTTCATCTGGAGGTCCCGTGTTCAATCCACGGTGATGCCATTCTTTTTCTTTTGTTCCCGACAATCTCCATTTCATCATTTCTTTCGGCCATAGATCATCTGCATCAGTACGACGCGACAAGGAGATTGCACCGCCCCTTACATATGTACGTCCGGTCCGTGCTCGGTTCCTTCCTCCACAGGAGGTTTGGTTGACAGTTTTCAGGCATACCGATTGTGGCTGAAAGTCGACGTCCTGGTGGCCTTTTGGTCGGATGTGCCCGCAGCGGGGTTGTCTTGGGGTTGTCAATTGTCAATTGTGGGGTACCGACCTCGGACAGCGGGAATTTGATTTGCATTCGGGTTCAATTCCGCACGCACGAATGAGGCTATAGGTATGATGTCTACACCGATGACCCTCGCCGTTAGGTAAATTCGGGGTCCGTTGTAAGCAGACGAATAAGTAATATGTATTGAAAGGCGTCATGGAGGAATATTCGGGTGCATTGGCAGCGGGGGCCGTACGTCCGACGTCAGTGGGAGCACGGAGGATTGAATTGGAATTAGAGTTGGATTTTTTGTCGGACCGAAGATCCGGGAGATGGAGAGTATTGATACTGATAGGGGCACGGTCGGGGACTCCATTGTTGAGCGGAAGGCGGAATTCAACGGAGATTGGGGACGTGGAATGATGAGGTGCCTTTCGGGTGGGTGGGTGGAGGGTTCGGACCGGGTGGCGTCGACGATCTCCCAAGACAACATGGATTCCGGTGTTCAATGCGATTTGTACATAGCGAATCAAAGAAAGGTGGTGCGGGGAGTTGCCGAGGACTGCCCGGGAATCAATCTAGACGGGGGTGGGCTAGTTGCCGTGCTGGAGTGGTTGTGAGAGAGGTACAGGACGCGTGGGTCGCTTGAGATGAATTGGGCGTCGATCTGTGATATGTTCAACTTTTGGCGGTAAAAGGCTCACACTTCAAGTCTAGGTGAGTACGGGTGGGTGAAGAGATAGATCGCGAAGAGTAGCAAATTTGTCATCTGTGAGGCGTTGTTGGATTTTCAACTGCACTGAGGCACACTGCACCAATTGAACACACTCCCTCCCACTCACTAGGAAAGAAAATTCCCTCGGTACCGACCGCGGAAGTTTGACGGACAGATTGCTCGCATCGCGACGCCTCAAAGCTGATGCGAGTTGCGAACGGACTGCCATTCTTGCGTAGTAACGTACGCCGAGCGAGTGGTAAGCACACATCTTGGTGAGACTCGGGCGGTTCCGACGACGGAGCGTGCATAATGTTTTGTAATAAGGACTATAGAGAATCATTTCAGTACGCGTTGGCCATGGGTTGCGGGTAGCTAGACCGTCGAGAACGTCGGTGATCTCCGTACTGAGAATTCTGGAACAGCGGGAATGGGGAAGCATATTTTTCTTGCTCCTCCCAACGTCGAAGAAGACGAGGGTTCGGTCGATTCCGACTCCCGAGCCGCGTGTTTCAGTGAATCATAATCATATCTGTCGAATTATTGAAAAGTGCCTGGAAAGAAGTTTTTCAACATTTGCGGCGAATCAAAGTTCGTTCGACGATAAACTCGGACTCCGAGTCGGATTCGTACGTATTCCACTGCCATCCATACGTGCGTCCATTGATTCAAACATTAGGTATGACAACGGACGGCGATAAGAAACTCAAGGGCGCTCACATCGAGAGACTGACGGCTCCGAAGCAGTTCAAGTACGTGAGCGTGTGCCGTCAAGCTTTCACATATCAGTGGCGACGGCGACCCGAGGGCGGGAGCCCTGGTGCCTAGAAGGAAGATTATTGTATTTATACAGACTGGGGCACGGTGTTAGAGGGTTGGAATTTTGGGGTGCAGATGTTAGAGGCGGGTGGTGAATTAACGCAGGCTAACCTAACGAGTGTTACGATCCAGACGAGTCTAGGCGCCGGCTCGGGATTTTATCTTGCGTCGCCACGCCGTGCTCATGAGCGAGGGCGGGGGTGAAAGGGTGACAGAGGAAGAGTGGGTGGGAAGTCCAGTGGGAGAAGAAGCTGTGATTTGGGAAGATTTAGACCGAGGACAGGGAAAGGTTCTATTTGGAAGAGAGTGACGTCGATGGTATCCGAATTTCTCTGGAGGAGATCGAACAGGACCCTCGCTTGAGGCGGGTTGGCGGGAATGGCGCATCAAAAGTGACGGGGTAGAGATAGGGGATAGATTCCGATCGATCGGCGTGCCAAATCGGGACAATGGAAGATTCTGATGACAGTAAACAGCGCCAAACACCGGTGGGGGGGCTGATTTGAATATTTGTGTCGTATACAACAGGAGCCAATCTTCCCTCGACCTCCACGATGGGCAACGCCCCTTCCCAGCCCAACCAGTCTCCCGCCGAACCGAGACCCTCACACTCCTCTACGAGAACAAAGCGCCCGCCCCCTTCACCTGCTCCCGTCGACGCTCCCACCACCGTCGCCCAGCTCCAAACCCTCACAGCCCTCGTTGCTGCCCCAGCAGATCCACCGCACGCCCAGGATCCGCCCGTGCTCGCCAAGGCCCCGGCCGACACATCTCTTCGTCCCAACCGCAAGTCAATCGATCTGCCGGGTCTAAACACCTTCGCCCCTGTGGTTCAGCCACAGGCCCATGGGAGGAGCAGTCGCACCGGCATGCGAGTGTCCTCCAGTCGTATCGTCGATCGTGGACGCGCCTGGCTTCACCGTGAAGGCCGCGGGTCCCAGCAGCAACAAGCCCAGAACGGAGCTCGGGTGCCTCCACGCAGCGCTGCTATTGCGATTCCCGTCAAGAAAAACGATCACGAGATTAGAGACCAGGAGAGTGGGTATGGGTACCATGTTCGGGAGGGTATTGCCAAGAGGAAGGCGGCAGAGAAGGCGCGCAGGGAGAATGAAGAGCCTCCTCGGTCGGTCCTTTCGGTCTTATTGTGTGTCTATACTGAATCTACTGTAGCCGTGGCCGTTCACCGACTCGCTCGCCAACCCGCTCTCGCTCTCGTGTGGCTCGGGCACACTCACCACCCCGACACCACCATCCAAGTACCAACGGTCTCCGTGCACCTTCACCTTCACGCTCGCACTCCCACTCGCATTCCTCTCGTTCCCGTTCTCCACACTCTGGCTCGCAATCACACAGTCAGAGCCAGAGCCAGTCCCGGTCGCGAGGCTCGCCGTCGCGCAGTGACGGCAGGTATGACGAGCGGAGGGGGCGATCGTACGAGCGGCACCGGCCGGAAGAGACCAATTCGGAGAGGGAAGCTAGAGAAAAGGACCAGTACGAGCAGTTGTATGGTCCGGGACCGAGGGCTGGGGAGGGTCAGGGTGAGTTTCCTCTCTCTCCAGGCTGCGATACCTGGCTCATTCGGATCTAGCGGCCGTGCCTTTTGAACGTGAAGTTGTGTTCAGCACTATCCCCCTCACGATTGGGCCCATGGCACTCATTGGTCTTGCGGAGGGGGATGAGTATGCCGTCGAGGACGGTGAGGGTGGCACGGACGGTGGGGTCATGGCGGTCGTGGACGAGATCGTTGGCTGTGAGTCCTCCTTGCGTTTTCTGTTTCATTCCCTCGCCTTCTCTTCATCGAGGGCAATTTTTTTTCTTTTTTCTTTCGGGGCACAAAGTGGGGTTGTGGGTCCAGGCTGCATTGTCATCCTTCCTGTGGATACCTCCCATCCACTCACAAGCCTCATGCCTATTCCCTTTCTTCTTCACATTCAATCACCCTATCTCCCAAACGTTATTTCAGAATTCTGATGCTAACGGCGTTTATTTCCAGCGCCACCTCCAGTCGAAGACGTTGAGCTGCCGCTCAGCGCAGTACCGATCGCATGGCGCGAAAATGCGACCGAGGTGTACCTCATCCGTGCTGGGGATGAGGATTGGATGAGTAGGAGGGTGATGGAGAGGGTGATGGTCGAGGGTGATATCGAAGGGTGAGTGTCGATTCTCTTTGCTTTCTTTCTGTCTTTCTTCCTTCCCTGCACGCACGCGCGCGAGACCACCCTGACGTCTCATTTGTCGTCATTTCATTTTCGGTGTCGTGCCTGGCTGTGCTTACCTCCGGCCTCCTAACTGTCTTACTCGTCTCCGCGAAACGTCACCCCATTTCTTGCGAGTTTCCAATTCGTTTGATCCACCTCTTGTTGTGGTGTACGGGTGGGGCAGTGGGCGGTATGGTGGCTGGCCGTGGAGGGTGTTGTGGAGGGGTGTTGTGGAGGCTCACTCCCCTTCCCGGAGGACTGCGCACATGCACGCCAGTTCTCTCGTTCACTTCTCTTTCCTTTTTCTGTGGATGGCGCCGCCATATATCATCTCCTCTGACCCTGACCCTCTGCGCCATGCCTAATACATCGACGCCATCAACGCCGCCCTCCGTCCGCGGCGGAGGCGGGTTGGGGCGGATCTATTCCTGGATCTGCGCCGCCGGATATCCCCGGTTGTGTGGCTGGCCTTGGGTGCTCGATGTCGGAGTAGTGCCCTCGATCCTTCTGTGCCCCTTCCGCGAGGCCTTCCCAGGGGCGATGCCTCTGCATTCTTGACGCCGCGCTGCGGGTGCTGCTCGTGTGGCGTCTCGGGGCCAGATCGACGACAGACGTTTGGCTTCTCGTAACGCGTCGCGCGAGCTAAGACGTACTAATTGCTCAGTCTCCCTTTACCTTCTGGGGCTGGAGAACACTTTTTAATTTTCCCATCCGCCTACTCGTTTCCCGCATGTCTTTCTCACAGCCCTGGCTAACATTTTTGCTTCTTTGCAGTCAGCCTACGGGGCCTTTCATGACGACAATACACTTGCCTCCTGGAACGCACCATTTCCGATTCATCGTCGACGGGGAGACGGTTGTTGCTCCTGCGACGGAGATCCCCAACGCGGTGGACGACCAAGGGTTCATCGCCAACTATGTCGCTGTTCCTGGACCAGTGGGGACTACAGCACCCATTATCACGTCCGGACTGGCGACGTCGCCTACTACCAGCAAGACGACTTCGGCATCCACGAGCGCGACGGTCAGCCCGTCTGCCAGTACCGCCCCTCGACCGCCG